CCGAAGGGGACCTATTCGTGTGCGGAACTCAACACGGCCTGATGGCTGAAAGCGGTGGACATGGTGTGTTTCATCCTAGCGAATACTACCCTACATGGACTGTTGCTCCGGCCGCGGATGCCCTCAAACATCTCCTTAAACACTGTACCGGATGGCAATGTGTTCCGCGACCAGCTGATCAGAAATGCGACGCAAAGTAGCCCGCCGATCCATACTAGTTTTTTTTTTTAAGTAAATATTGGAATCTTCAGTTGTAAATTTATTTCTTATGTATTCACGTGTACCTGCTCTGATATAATAAGAAGGCTCCAAAAAAAACCCCCCTAAACTCGTATTGTTTGTGCTTTTTTGTGATTATTGAATAATCGACTATAAGTTAAATTTTATTGCAATGATTCTCAGATTCATTAAATTGTTCTTAATTTAATCCTTTTGTTTATATGATTGCTAAAATCTCAAAAAAGAAAAAGGTTTAGTAGGAGTTAATTTTGCAACTTTACATGTTAGAGCACGATAGTTAAAGAAAAAAATAGTGTGAATAGTTGGACAAACGAAAGGACTAATTGGGACAATTTAGCATATCGAAGACTCATTTTGGGATAATTTATGAGGTCAATGGGATTTGGCATATAATTCGTAGATTTAAATTGGGTCCCAAGTAGTGTATTCTCATTGGTGAGACTAAATATCATGGCTACACTATATTCTTGTTTCATTATCCTAGTAGTATACCAAGTAAACCACCTACTTTTATTAGTGCTTAGAGTTGAATTATCTTTCCCTTTCAATTGTTTAATGCCCTGATGAAGGGCTTCATGGACCATATAAGATCATGAAAGATTTATCATTTTGGTCACATATTTAGATCTTATTTGTTCTGTCCACACAAGTTTGTGTTGTGAAAGAAGCAACGAGTATCAATGTTTGAAATTAGACACAATTCACTGGTGGGGAAAGTTCTGGAAGAAAATGGCAGTAGATTTTATTTCGTTTCTTGAGGGAAAGAAAATGGCGTTTCCAACCGAAGGGCTGAAAAGTTTGTTAGAAAATATCCTTTGATCATCTCTCAAAATCTAAGAAACATTTATGTTAGATCACCAAGAATTAATAGATTAATAAGCGAAAATGTACTTAAATCCATGACAATAAATTATTTTCTAGAGCTGTACGGTTTGTCTTCCAGATCAACACGTTTTTTTAAATAATTCTTTAACTTTCTCTCTGTTCTCTCTAATGATATGATGTAAGAAAGAATAGAATGTTACTACTATATATAGATAGCTTCCATGTTATCTTTTGATATTTTTATTTTAGTCCATCATAAAAATAAAATTAAAAAATTACCCTTAAGTCTCCATAAATTAAAGGTCACCCTATTAGATACATTAAAGCGTAAATAACTTAAACCTTAATAGATCACTTTTAAATGGGCTTAACCTTATATGACAGTCTGTAACACATAATTATTCATATATATAAGTTTAATGTTGAATTAAGAATACAGCAAAGTTCACTTATTAAAATGTTGTTTGAGAGTTGGACCCGGCATTTGAGGAGTCTTAGGCCCCGTATATTTTACCGATTTGAGTTTACAATTTGAGTTTTGTTACAGCAAAAAGCTCTCAGAAACAGTCACATCAAACTTTTTTATTACAGTAAAAAGCTCTCACATAAAGTCACATCTCAAGTCAAATTAAAAATTTGAATCAGCGAACTAAACAGACCCTTAATATGTTGTAAGAAATATTAAAAAGTTCAGGAGTTCTTATAAATATTTTTAGGGTTGGTACAATAATGATTTGATCTGATGGCTAGAATTTTACAAAAAATTTTAGCTCGACCAGATGATATTCTTAAGAAGTTAGTTTATACTTTAGATGTGTTTCAAAAACAGGGAAATGTAAGGCATAACTTTGAAAAAATTTACATCTTATGGGGTATCGAGAATCTCAAACATTTGATTCTTTGAACATAGAAAACATCAAAGATTGTATATATATAAAAAGTGATTTATTAGAAAATTCGTTATATATATATATATAACGAATTTTCTAATAAATCAATATGAGGAGCAGCTGTTATTTGACTTAGCCATCATATCATTGGAGAAACAAAAGAACTTTTCTCATGTGAGAAATTTATAAACACAAGACACCCAAAAACAGAGGAACTAACTAGAAGACATCATCGTCTTTAAAAAGTCACTATCAAGTTGTATCTTTTTTATTTTCCATCTTTTCACGGATTTTGTGGTTACGAGTTTTGACTTTTAGCCCAAGGTGGTTGCTGGACTCTAAACTTTTAAACACAAAAGTTAATGTTTTGATTTATAAGTTTAGAATTTTAGTTTATAATTTTAACTTTTAAAATTTAAATTTTTTATAAGAAAAAAATATTGTAGTAAATTAAGAATTATAATATTAAATCATGTTAGAATCTTCGAAACAAACAGAACATAATATATATATATATATAAATATAAGAGTTGTGTCTAATCTCCCAGTTTAAAAATAGAGGACAAGTTCTTCACGTGGCATCATAACGAGTCTATGTATCAATTATAACCGGGTGAATACCTAGCACAATTCTCTTATATTGAGTCGTAATAATTACTATTTTAAAAACTAGAAGTTGTTATTAAATATATAATAATAAACAACTGTCATTAATAATTATATGAAAAATATTAAAAAGTAAATAAAAAATGACTGTCATTTGTACTATTAATATCAGTCATTTTATCGTAATCTATTGTTGTTTTAAACCTAAATAATATTGTCGTGAAAAATTATATCTGTCATATTGTTTTTTTGATGGGCAAATCCGGTCATGCATTAACATTTATTTGGAGTAGTGCATAACAATGTTTTAATTGTCACATGTTTAAAAATGACTTCTGGTTTCCAAAATAATAACTGTTACGACTTAATACAAGAGAATTATGTTAATCCTTTAACCTTTTATTATGAGAGAAATTTCCCCCATAAAAATGGTGAGAGGCCACAGAAAAAGCCAGATATATATATATATATATATATATAGTTTTAATAGTTTACTTCAATATTAAACTTCAATATTAATTTATCGATAGATATTATTATTTTAACTGTATAGTATTGATCAGATGAGTGTAATAAATTGAGTAGATAAAATGGAGTAGTACATAACAATGTTTTAATTGCCACATGTTTAAAAATGACTTCTGGTTCCCAAAATAATAACTGTTACAACTTAATACAAAAGAATTATGTTAATCCTTTAACCTTTTATTACGGGAGAAATTTTCCCCATAAAAATGGTGAGGGGCCACAGAAAAAGCCATATATATATATAGTTTTAATAGTTTACTTCAATATTAAACTTCAATATTAATTTATCGATAGATATTATTATTTTAACTGTATAGTATTGATCAGATGAGTGTAATAAATTGAGTAGATAAAAAAAAATATGACAAATAATGAGATCGGGTTCTTATCAAACCATATCATTAAGGTCTCATTCGCTTCACGGATTCGAGTTTTCAATTCGAGTTAAGATGTGATATTTTCTGAGAGCTTTTAACTGTAACAAAAAAAGTTAGATGTGACATTTTCTGAAAGTTTTAACTGTAGAAACCTAGAAGTGAAAATTCGAATCGATGAAATGAACGATGCCTAAATTCTATATATGATGGATTATGATTATTGAATATATATATGTATATATTATTTTCCATTTTTTAGTTACTTTAATAATTGTTTGTTAATTAAAGCTTTTGATTTCAACGTTGAAGCTTGCAGGATGCTGATAAAAGAACCCCATTATCATAACGTTTGAAATTAGCCAAGGTCCTTTAATTAAGCTTGGGCATGAATTTCTTCTAAAAATAAATTAGCTCGGAATAAACCATAGATTGTAAGTACTTTATTAAAAGCACTATCACCTTTATTAAATATATGCACACACACACACACACACACTATAAGCTGTTTTGTTATCCTCACATAAAAATATTATTTCATTAGCTTTTCAAATTTGGAATTTGTAATATTTGTTTCAATTAAAGGAAAAATATAATTTTTCATTCAAGAAAATAATAATTCATAGGTTGATTTTATGTATTCTGCTTACAAAATTCGCGGGAATTATAACGAAAAATTCGTTGTATAACTGCCGCTTTATTGCAACCGTCTGGCATATACTTGAAATAAAAAAAAATAAAAAGAAAAATATATACGTATACATTTACACATTCAAAAACTCGGGAAAACCCGGGCGATTAAAATAAAAAGTCGCCATATCCCCACAACACTCTTTAAAGAACCCGCCATTGGCGGCGGTGAGAAGAAGACGACGGCGAAGAAGAACAAGAAGAAGAACAACTCTCCGACTCCGACGTCCCGAAAAACATGTCCGACAAGTAATTCCCCACATCTTCGGGGGTGAACTTGACAAACAACCTGACCTGCCTCTCATTCTCCAAAGTGATCCTGTGTGTGTCATAGAATTCCCTATACACCGTCACGAGTTTTCTGAAAACCCTCGTCTTAATCTCGTCTCGAAGCTTGACGTCGGGCACCACGCTCGACCTCTGCTTCTTGCACGCTTCTTCGAAGCTCGAATTGAAGTTCTTGAACACAATCTTCGCCTGCTCGGCCGACATCGCCGCCGTTGTCGGATTCTCCGGCAGCGAGGCGTACACTTTCCCCCACGCCAGCCGCTCGTAGCTCGCCGTGAACTGCCGCACTTTCGCCTCGTGCTTTGCGACCCATTCGTCGCCGAGAAGGTAATGGAGATTGGAGGTTCGGACTTTTGAGACGACGTGGTTGAGGTTGTTGGCGAGGAAAAGGTAGGAGACCGAAACGTCGTCGTAGTGTTTGGATTTCCCGTCGAGTTTGCAGAGGAGGACGAGGATAAGCAAGCCCAATCGGAGGGATATGGCCGCCACCGTCGTCGCCGACGACGCCGGAGACCGCAACGGCGACGGCGGTGGATGAGACTCGTCGGAGGAGTCGGCGGAGCTGGAGTTGTCGAAGAGTAATGTCTCAGGGAGAGAAGAGGTGTATTTCGCCGGAGGAGGCCAATCGCGGAAGATGTCGACGAGGATTTCGCTGTAGTCGGCGAGGAGAGAGAGGTGATTCATGACATGGACCGTCAGGCGGTGGAGTCCACCGCCTGGCGGGGATTTCTTAAGATCTTGACGGTCTTGATGGCGAAGAAGATGATGAAGATTGTCTTTCTGGATGGCCGATTCGAAGTCGGAGAGAGCTTCTCTGACGAACTCGGCCATCCGGACGAGGGAATTGAAGGCGGCGGAGCGAACGGCGGCGGTGGATTCGAAACCGAAGATCGATTCGATCTCCGGCCAGTTCTCGAAAATCGCGGTGTACATGCCGAGAATCGGGAAAATCTTCTCCGGCGACCGCTTGCTCTTCGCGATGAGCTCCGGGAATCCGAAGAGGAGGAGAGCACCTTCTCGAGAGATATCAGAAAAGCAAGATTCTCTGATCGGGTCCGACGACGAGAAGACATGATCGCAGAGAATCCGCTCGCCATTGAAGAGGGTCCTCTTCGCTTTCTTCACCGCCTGCAACCAGTTGTTGACCCGAAACTCGAGCACTTCCGAATTGTACTTGTTGATCTGAGAATGACTTAGTTTCTCCACTCCCATTCTGTAAATCCCCTCATCAATTATTGATTTTCTGATGATCTTGTAAATGTTTATGCATTCTATTGCATAGCCTGCCGAGATCATACACTCAGCAATGACTCTCAGGTCTTCCATGGCGGTGGAGGAGACCTGTTCCACTTCAGAGATCGAATCTCCGGCTACTCGGATATCGTCGTCCGTCGTCGTCCCGCCGTCGTCTTCGAACTCCGAAACGCTCGACCTCGCGGAGGCCCGGGACGAGCGAGTCGAGACCGATTCGGGGTCTAAATAGGCGCGATTCATGGACAAAATCTGGTAAAACTCCTTCTGAAGCCTCTTCATGGCGATCTGCATAAGGCTCTGCGCCAAAACGAGCTTTTGGGAGGAGGCGTAGAACTCGTCGGAGACCATGAAATGCATGGCTTTTTGGAGGTCGCCGACGCACATGATGAATTGGCGAGCCTCGGCCTTGCTCTCGTAGAAGAGGGAGGTGACCTTGGCGTAGGTGGAGGACTCCGGGTCCCACTTCATCACTAAAACCGCCGCCGACTCGATTATCTGCTCGACCATCGACTCCGTGACGCTCCGCCGCGGCGGCGTGGAGGCGGGAGTGGCGTTGCTCCGCTGCGGCGAGGAGGACGGGCCGGCCAAAAGCGACGGCGTTTTGGCGTGGAAGCAAAGCGTTTTCATTCCCTTTCTCGGCATTATTATGTTTTGCTTGTGTGTATTTTGCAGAATTTTGTGATAAGAGTAAAGGATGAAACTGAAAAGAATAAAAATGATAAAGAGCTAGCTGAGGTGAGGGTGTGAGAGATTTTGGGAATGAAATATGAGTAAATGAGAGCCAGCTGTTTCGTAGATATATCGGAGGAGGGATTGGGGTATATATAGACGGGGGTTTACACTATAGCAATAGGTGACTCTGAATTTTTTGTGGCTTGACAATTTTGTCTTTAATTATATGTTTTTTTTTTAATTATTTTTAGTCCCTAAATTTTAAATTTGCAATTTTGGAAAATAATGAAGGATTAAGTCATTAATAATAAAAAATAATGTTTTTTTTTCAAAAAAAAAAGAAATGTTAAAAAAATATAAGAAGTCTTAGAGGCAAAAATGTTGAAATTATGATTGTTCCATTTAGAATTAATGCTAGAGAACTCTCAGAATTATTTTTCAAAAAAAAAAAAAAATTCAACAAGACCGTGCGGTAAAAATCTACAAAAAAGTATTTTTGCACAAACATTATTTTTACAGTTTTAAGTTATCTTGAGAAGTTGAATTTCGTAGTCTCGTGTTTGGTATAAGGATTCGTGTCATGGTTCGAATCATAGTTCGTGATTCATTATAGTGTTTTCTCTTTAAAAAAATACACGTAAATCGAGAATAATTTTAAATCATAATTCTTATTCAACGTCCTTACTTTTGATAATTTTATTTGTGAGTAGTGACATTTTTTTTATTAAAAGCACCGTAATTTTAAGTTGGGCTTTGACTCGTTATTTGCTTAAATGTTAAGAAAGTACGGAAAAGAAAGTGTTAATTCACGAGAAGTTCGAGGGCTAAGGTGTTAAAACCTCTAAAATAGATGAAACGGTGGAACGACAACGTTGGTTTGGATTAATGCGATATGGTGATGAATTTAATAACACATGTGGATCAAAGAAAAACGAGATTGACTTTACGTCACAGAAAAAAAAAAAAAAAGGACGTTGACCCTTAAACGCGCCTATTACGTGTAGTCGTTTAACTGAATTACGTGAGGCCAAAAGAGGACGGAAATTGGAACAACTTTTCGTCGCTGGAAAACGACAGTCGTCGTGGAAGTTATATCGAAGGAAAAAACCTCGATCTCTTGCTCTCGTGTGTTCACATATATATATATATATATATTCTTTGCTGCTATAACTTACATATTTTCACGTTTACCTTTTGTTTTTGTTTTTTTGTTTTTTTGTTTTCTTTGTAATTCATGTTGTTTTCGAAAAATGAGAGACGTTAGCTGGATTCATTGAAGGAGACACTGTTTTGTGTTTTCACACTGATATCTTTCTTTAAAATGTAAGCGTAAAAACGACAATAGCATAACAAATTGGGAATAAATGCGGAGTATGCAATACGCAATTTAACCTTATTTTTTTGTTGGGTTTCTGATTCTTTTTTAATTTTTTAATTTTTTAATTTTTTTTTACGTAGGTTATAGCCAATTTTTATTAATAAATTAGATTGAAGAGTTTGATACCGGACCATCGAGTTGTTTAATGACTATCAACCTAATTGAAAGGTAAACGTATCTAATATTAGTTCCTCTCTACTTGAAAAAATATATATATATACTTTGATGGTAACCACCATAAAGTATAACCATTAAAAACTAATCATATATATATAATTGATTTTCTCTTAACATGACGATGAAAGTATATTTCCTCTCCACCGTTGATTATAGAAATCGATTTGCTCGTTCTTAACCTAATGACGAAGTATATTTCCTCTACACCGTCGATTATATATATATATAAACTGTCTTTTGATCAATAGATATAACATATAGATACGACAAAGACAAACTAATGTTTCTCACGCGTTTGAACTTTTTATTTACTTAATTTACTATCAAGAGACTTTCATACACCGTTTGAAAAGTATGTCAGTTTTTATTAAATATATACTTCTTTTTTTTTTAATTGTTTCTTTTGAGCAAGAATGGCTTATTATTTTGTCATAGCTAATTGGCTGATCCGATCCTATATATATATATATATATACATATATATATATCACATTTGTTTCAAGACTTCTTTTTTTTAATTGTTTCAAGACTTCTTTCCCACGCTTAATTTTCATTTGCATGTAAGAATTTTCACTGCATTACCAGTAAATTTTTCAGTATAATTAATTTGATTAGAGTACAATTATAAATTATTTACGTACGTTGTAGTGCAAACAGATATATTTAGACTTTTAGGGTGCGTTTGGTCAGTATATTCGTACCATGATTTGAATCATGATTCGTGGTTCACTACAGTATTTTCTCTCACAAAAAACACACGTAAATTGAAAATGGTTCTGAATCATGATTCTTACCTCTTGTTTTGATTAATTCTATCGCGAGAATAAAATTGTGGGTTAAAAGGGGAGATTTTTGTCTCAATCCACTATACACACACACACACACACGCACAGATAGAAGTCTACGGGGATCATAAAAGAAGTCTTGTATATCACCCTTTTTTTTAATAAATCCTTCATACTTTCATGATCAGCAAAAAGAAACCCTTCAAAACTGTTTGTCCCATTATTTTAATGCCAATGGAGTTTACCTTTTCTACAGGCTAGGTAATTACCAAAACATCTTTATTTATTTATTTTTTTAAATCTCAATGAGTCAATGTCAATGATTTTCTCTTTAAATCTCCGATAAAAGAAAACTATTTCTTCTTCCCATATGTACATTAAACAACTCTTATCATTATTACAGAGAATTCGACTCGGCTGCAGGCCATAACATTAAGATAGTAAAATCAAAATAACAATTATAACAATAATAATAATAAATATAATGAATAAATAAATAATGATATTGAAGCTAAAGAACTACAGGGCTAGGCTTACCCCAATTCTATATGTACTTTTTTCTTCATTTTTAAAAAAAAAAAGGAAAATTAAGGTCTATTAATCTTATTTAATTAACATGCGTAATGCACGTTTTTGTGGCCTTAAACCTTTGAAGAATTTCTGCCATAGAAATTGGTTCAAAACAGGATGCAATATTAAAGACACTTTAAGAAATTAAGGTGACTAGTCCTTATCGATATTAATCTCTATTGAATTTGAAGTTATATATATCACCACATATAATTATTCCACATGGATGACAAAAACAATAATAATAGGGAGCAAGAATATGAATATATATATATAGTATTCTATATATTCTTGATCAACCTGAAATCAATATTATTCATCAAAATTTAACCTTTATTCACACCATTAGCAATATTTACATAATCACGTACGAATATATTCATGGCGTACAACTATTATTATCAAACTGTGGACAAGCCAAGAATATGGATCAATGAATTTAGACGTATCCACTCGTTTCTAATTTTTCCCATAAACAATGATTCCAGAAGTTGAGAAACTTCCCCTAAATGATACCACTTTGATTTCAGCGGTCAAATATTGAAAGCCAGCAACCAATAAAAATTGCATTATTTGGCTATAGTTTCTCAGATCTTACGGCGGAAGTAATCCAACAAAAAGGAAAAGGAAAGTACAGTTGGAATTTCGTTACCCCAAAAAGTTCCAACAAAACAAATAAAAGGTGAAACTCTGACTAATTTAAGCATGCACATATATGATGATGATTGTGCATGCGTGTATATCATTATAATCACAATATCAAAGTATATTTTAATTAATTGTCTCTTAGTTGACGACAAAAAAAAAATGTTGAAAGGTTTGACCTGGGTAGTACTACATGATATATATGGACGACTTTTTAAATGTTACGTTTTTATCAGTGGTTACAGATAAAGTTAGACAATCAAATTATATTTGATAATGTGGTGTTTAATATATATGTGACTTGTTATATTGCATCAGTTAAAAAATTTCAACAATTCGAACGTTACATTTAATAATGTGGTGTTTAATATATGTGACTTGTTATATTGCATCAGTTAAAAGTTCCAACAATTCAAACGTTACATTTATAATGTGATTTAACCTTAAGCATCGGTTAAAAAGACTATTATTAACTCTCCAACTACTCAATTCATTACAACTGTCTCATTGATATTTATGATCAAAACAACGATAATATCCGTCGATGAGTAAATATTGGATTAATAAGTACTATTAACAATGTGTGTGTGTAGTTGAGACCTTTAATGTAGTAAAAATGGTGGCGAGAAGTAATGATATAAGTGAAGATTGATCCGTATTCTCCATTATGTTTGTTGTTTCTCAAGCATTGCGTAATGCCATGCAACTTGGGTGTCCTTGAATACTATTCATGTTAGATTCATGATCTAATGCAGGAGAAAAAGCAATATGAATTCTTTTTTTTTTTTTTTTGAGAAAAAATTAATGCAATATGAATTCTTGACTAATATAGCGATGCTCAAGTACTCTGTTAGGGCTTTTATTCAACATTTCCCACATGGTGCATTGTACTCTTTTACAATTACTGTAATGATAAGAATATTATACATTATTCAAGCATTACACTTGCAGTACTTGTTGAGTCTAGTTGGCCGTTGTTGAATGAACAAAACAAACATGATGAGTTCAAAATCTTGAATTGTAGATAATATATATACCGTGACAGTCAATAATATTATAATTGCTTAGAAAGAATTAATGGGCTGGTAATGTTAAGCACCAAAATAAAGACTTCAAGAAAAGAAAAAGTCTTATAAACTTCAAATTCAAGATGGAAGGGATTTAATTGAAAGAAATAGTTCAGTTATATACTTCTCAGGTAGTTGTTTTTGTTCACTCATTCAGTTTTTGATTGCTTTGGAAGTTTATTTTTTATTTCCTATAATCTTTGAATATATTTTTAATTTTTCTACTTTATTGTATTTTATTTTCTAATCATCGTATGTTTATTAAAAAAAATAGGTTGTTGTTAGGCAATTTTCTTGTTTTTGGTGAAAAGATATGGGCTATATAAATGCCATGTGATCATTTAATTTACTAAAAAAGTCGATAATTTGTCATAAAACTCTTCATCTAAATGGCAATATATACATAGTATAGATAGTTTTCATTATAAAAAAAAGTGTTTTTGATGTAATTACCCCCAAACTTGTTGTAGTTTAGCAAATTGCCC